TGGAACATAACGTATAAAAAACAATAATAATTGTAAATTTTTTTTTTCTATCGAGAAGGGAGAAAAATAAAAAAAAAATGAGCTAATAAAGTTGTCGCATAATAATAATTATAGAATTTAAATAGTGTTAATAATATGCTTATATTAAAAAATAAAATATCTAATTTATTAATTTAATTTATTTAATTTATTAAAAAAGGTTGTCGATTAAAAAAAAACGATTGTGCAATGTATTTTATAATAGTATTCAATATAAGGTGCACTCATAAATTCATCTTCTAAAAACCCAAGTGATGAAAATCCATTTTTTTGAATTCATTTTAATTTTGTATTATACCTTAATGACGTAATACAAAACTGAGTGAAAAATTAATATTACAAAAAATACTTTTATTTCATTATTTTCTTCATTTTTTTTAACGAGATTGAAAGTAGTTAAATCAATAGCTTTTAACTGTACGACAGTCTTCTCGAATCAGTCTTAATTACACAGTTACTTATAATGATTTATAATCGAGTTAAGATAAAAGTTTCGATAAATTGATTGATATATAATAATTATAAGAATAATTAATTAATCTAATAAACCATAATAATAAATATAATATAAATGAAAGTTCCGATTCATGAATAATATTTTTTTTTCTTTTTTTCTCCGCTTTTCTAAAGAATATCAAAGTATACTATTAGGACGATAAACTTCATAGCGTGTTGATCGTAGATTTCATGATGATAATGTAAGCGTTTAAATTTTTGATTATTAGAAAAGCAAGAAATGAATTATAAGATAATAAAATAATAAAATTTGAAAATATTGAAATCGTCTTTTATTATTTAAAGTCTTCATCATTATTTGATTAAGTTTTATTTCGTATAAGTTAAAAAATAATAATTGGCATTTTTCGAGACAACTAGTGTTAAAGCACGAGTAAATTCTTCGAGATAAATTATTACTATTGGTGAGATATAAAGTCTGAATAGATATATCTTATCATCATCACCATCACTAGATTCTTTATAATTTCAAGTAATCGATGAAAAAAATTTTAAAGTAGAAGGCATGGAATCAATGAAAGAACTCAAAATGCTAGAAATGAGGAACGATGCCAGATCAAACACTCAGACAGGAAATTCATTAATGGAGTATTGAGGCCTTTCGACAATCACAAAATTGCCAAAAAAATTTGACCTAAATTCGGCTATCAATAAAATTCAGCCAAAATTCGGAAATTCCAAATTTTGGCCGAGACTTAAAATCACCTTAAATTCGGCTGAATTTAATACAATATTTGATATGTTGAATTGGAAACGCCCATTTCAGAAATATAATACTATTCGGTATATCAAGATTTTTTATTAAAATTCAGCCAAAATTCAGAGTCTCCGAATTTTGGCTGAATTTTATTGATAGCCGAATTAGGCCGAAATATTATATAATATTTTTGGCCTAAATTCAGTCGAAATTCAGAAATTCAGAATTTGTGCTGAAATTTGATATAATATTTCGATATCCCTCAGCTGTCAATAAATTTCAGAATTTCTGAGCTTTGGCTGAATTTATAAACAGCTGAATTTAGGTCAAAATATTATATAACATTCGGCTGTTTATAAATTCAGCCAAAATTCGGAAATTCTGAAATTTAATATAATATTCCAATATCCCTCAGCTGTCAATAAATTTCAGCCAAAATTCTGAATTCTGAATTTTGGCTGAATTTTTGCTAAAATATAATATAATATTTTGATATGCTGTTTTGTTATCAAAATATCAATAAACTTCATAATTTAAAAATCGGCTTAAATTTGGCTTTAAGTTTAAACCAAAATATGATATTTTGACAATATTTATCAACAATTTTGTCAAAATTTGGAAAATTTCAACTTATTAATGAAATTTAGCAAAAATTAAGAAGCACTGGATATTTGCTGAAAGTTAAAAATCAGCTATATATTTTTTAAATTCAACTGCATCAGGAATTATATGGAGGCATTCTAGTATATTATAAGTACAAAACATTCAAATAATGTACTAAAATATTGTGTTCTAGTATGCTATAAGTACAAAACGTTCAAATAGCACACTAGAACATTGTGTTCTAATATACTATAAGTACAAAATGTTCAAATAATACACTTGAACATTGTATTCTAGTATGTTAGTGCCATTTAAATAATATTATAGAACAGTGTTCATATTGTAAAACAATATTTTATTATTATATTATTTATTTATTTATATGTAATTTATTATTTTATTAGTTTATTTATTATTTAGATAGAATATAAGGTAAAGTATAGATTGTATAATAGGTAATACATCAGATGAATTACCAGGTACATCACCTAGATAAATTACTTGTTACATATTGTTACTAGTCAACCTTTTGGGCTAATTTTGTTTTCCAAAAGATAAGTTACAACTAGCAACTTGTAAACAAGAAGAAATGTGTTTACAAATTATAAGTATAAACTTAACTAAAATTAAATAAACAAGAATAATCTAATTATAAAATTAATAATAAGAACTTAGAATTTACATGGATAATTATTAACTATATTAAAAGTAACTATTAAGTTTAAGTGAACAATTTAAAAAATTAAGACTACAGGTAAAAATATTGTCAAGATATCACAAGGTATTATCAAGAGTTTATTATTAATAATTTATATTTGAAGAATATAAATTAGTGAAAAAATAACCAAGTTTTAAGTAAAAAGATATATGTTATTATAAAATAAATCAATAATCTTATCAATTAGGATTGTAAAAATATTAATTCAATATTTGAATTAAATACAAATTCAGAATAATGAGATTTTTATCTAAATTACAATTTTAAAATCTACCTTGGGATGGAAGAAAAACTCATCCTTTTTATAATAATGAACTTGACCAAAAACTTGATCAGTAACTAAGTCAATATCTTTGTCAGTAAGTATGCCAATTAGTTGGCCATTAACTTGGACAATTAGTTGATCAAATATTTGATTGTTAAATTAGTCACTATGATCTATATTATTGATTTATATAATTTATATTACAATAAATAATACTAATAATATATATGCTAATAATAATAAATATAATAGAATAAACTAATATAATAAAATAATATGATAGTGGAGAAACCATATGTAACAACATAATAGATATATCACCTAGGTTGATTATCTTTTACTAAAATTATTAGATTTGTAAATTAGTAAATCTCATAGCATAGTAAATTAAAGAGACATAAATATGAGTCTTTTCTGATCTTAGAGAGAGAGACAAAAAGCAGAGATTCAAATAAGAGATTTGAATAGATCTGAAGTTCCCTTTAATAGTATTTTATCTAATATCTTTAATCTCTAATTTCTACTTTTATTTTGTATTTTTATCTTTATATTTATTAATATATTTATTAATAAAGTTATAACCTATTAAATATCTCTATATTATTAATTTGTTATGCAATCTTCTATAAATTCTGAATAGATCTCATATAATTAACCTTTAGCTATATATCTTATCAAGTGAACAAGTTAGTTTGATGTGCTAAAACCCCTTTCACAATAAAAAACTTATCCATAATATTCCTTTGAATTTACTATCAAATAATTGAGTCAAGTTGATCTAAGTAATCCTTGTAAATTGTGATAATTATTTGTATAATTTTGTTTAGGAATATTAGTTATCCTTCAGACCCTTGTTTACAAGTTGATGTGACAATATAGTGTTGTAAAATATTTTTATTTAATTTCTAATACTATTTAAGTAGAATTTGTACTAAAATTTATTATTATATTGGTAGTATTATTTTCATCTATTTTCAAAAATGTATTGTCAAAAATTAGTTAAAATATATAGAATATTAATAATCTTAAATATCTAAAAGATGATATTTTAGATATTTAACATTTAGGCCATTTTTATTTGATTTATTACATCAGGAAATTTTCACTTACAAATATGTGCAGATATATTTGTAATTAATAAAAACTAAATATATACAAATATATTTAGTGTAATATATGAATTAATGTGAATAAATATGGATTAATGCAGATTAATGTGATTTATGTGGATAAATGTATGAGTGTCAAATATATCTAGATATATTCACCTCCAAAAATTTTCTAATGATATAAATATATATTAGATCATTATTTTAAAAAAATTAAAATTTTTAACTCAAATCTATTTATCTATACTATATATTTACTTGAATATACTACATGTCTATCTGTCTTTCAACTTATTTGTACCAAAAAATTTGTATATTTTTTATTATATAACTAGCTGATATTTTCAAAATTATTAAACTTGTAAACTAACTATTAAACTTGTAAACCTTTATTTAAACTTATAAATTCAATATTAAACTTTAATATTAAACTTGACTCAAACCTAACTTTTAAATTATAACCAAACTAAACTTAACATATGAGAAATTTTATATATAATCACATTTTTGGTTTTGGTTCTAGTTAAAATGTGTTTTTTAAAAAAATTATTCTAATTACATTATGTAAATTTAATATTAAAAATTATAAATCAACTATCAAATTATTCAATTGACATTTAATATAAATTATTTAATTATACAGATTTTGAATTAACTCTACAATTATCAATTTTAAATACCAAAATATCTCTTGCACCAATTTCTTCCAATTTATCCATAATATCAGCAACTTCATATTTATTAATCATACTTTGTACTTCTACCCATTCATCATCTTCCAATGGACTAATTGTAGGAGCTTGACCACCAGGAGTAACTTTAGTAACTTCTTTAAGATGAACACGTTGAACATTATAATTAAGTAATACAAATTTTTGAGCTGCTATTACACCTTTAATACGAGATGCAATTTTGGAAACAAGAGAAGGGTTTGAAGGGTTTTTATTACAAATTAAAATTGCTTGAGTTGAAAGAACAGTGGAAAGAGGATGTAAACCTGCTGCCTTCATTGTTTCACCAGATTCTAAGTAAATAATAAAATTAATTGTTAAATTAAAATATAAAATGTTAAAAGAAAAAAAAATAAGAACTTACCAACTAAATCAACTATTTTTGAATTAAAAAGTAAATTGAAAAAAAAAAAAATCAAGAAAGAATAAATTAAATAAATTAAATCAAAAAATATTATTATTATAAAGAATTTTTAACAAAATATTCAAGTGATGAAGTAATCCTCACCAATTCCATCAGCTAAACCAAGAGCACAAGCTGCTTCAACACTTCCACTTACGAATTCAATCCTTGTCTTGACTCCAGCTTTCCTTTGTTCTTCACTCAAATATTTTTCATCTAATTCACCAAAGTATTTTTCTGCTAAAACTTCAAAACTTGTAACTATCCTTTTTCCCACTAATTCTTCAACTTTTGTTACACCACCTATGACAGGTACCTGCACTTGTAATTTGCATTTTCCAAACCCTAATTCTAGAATCTCCTCTATTTTATCACCAGATTCTGATTCAGCTACCATATCTTGTCCAGTAATACCTAAATCTACATTTCCTTCACCAACATATTTTGGTATATCTGCTGCGGGAAGAAATACAAGAGCAATTGGAAGGTTCTGAACTAGAGCAATATCAAGTCGATTGCGACGATGAAAATTAATATCAGCACCTCCAAGTAAAGAAAGACAATGTTCATAAAGGCGGCCTTTCTTGGGAATACCAAAAAGAAGACGGTCAGGAAGTTTATTTATTAAATCCATCGATTGGTAAAAGGTAAAAAAGAGAAAGATCTAATTTAGACATAAGGTGATATTTATTTTAGAAATATTCCCAAGTAAAAAAAAAAAAAACTTTTAAGAGCAAACTCAAAAACTATAAACAGCATAATGATAGTCACACGTAGAGATTCTATAAATATATGATGTTTATTATCGATTTTCTTAATTTCTTCAATTTCCGGTTGAAATAAAAAAAAATGAATACATATAAAGATAGAGATTTAATGGTTGATGGTAGTATGGTGTATTGTCGTCCTCATCGTTCAGAATCTTGTTCTGAATGTAATTTAGACTTAAGTCCTTTGAATTCTCTCTACAAAGCTCTTTCACAAGTACACGGTGATATCCCACCTCCGAATGCCTTAAATCCAAATATTGCAAGACAAATTTCGAGTTTAAGAGAGAATGGAAATAAAAATCTTAAAGAACAAAATTTTGATGAAGCAATAAAATATTACACTTATGCAATTGAATTTTCTTTTCAAAGACCAATATGGGAACCCCATGAATTGACAGCACAAGAAGTTGCATACTGCTTAGGTAGAAGGTCATTAGCTTATATAAGTATCAAGTCTTTGGTAAACGCTTATGTTGATGCGGAATGGGGAATTAGAATTAAACCTGATTCTGTGGAATGTCATTATCGAAAAGGAAATGCATTAGTTGAAATGAAAAGATATGAAGAAGCAATAAAAGCCTATGAGTTAGGCCTAGAATTTGTACCAAATGATGGAAATTTTAAAAATGTTCTGGAAGAAGCATTGGAAAAAGCATTAAAATTAGCGAAAAATAATTAAGATTAAAAACAAAAATTATCAAATAGATTAATTCCAAAAAGAATAGAAAACTAATCTATCTTTAATTTATATAATTTATATTAGTTAATAATCGGAAAAATTTAAAATTAATAAATGAATTTTTTTTTTATTTTGAAATAAATCTCTTTATAAAATTTGCGTGCACATATACATTTACAAATATGTTTGCTCTAATAAAGAAATAAATTTCTATATCCTGAATTCCATCCAATCTAATTCAATCTATTTTTATTATTTTACTCTTGTTCATTTGTAATTTCAAAAGTTCCCACACTTCCAACAGCCCAAATTTCCTGTTCTTCCTCTAATTCTTCCATTTCATTTATTTCACTTGCCTGCGAAACAAGTTTGGATAACACACGTTTATGAAAATCAGCTACCGATTTAGCTGTTGAAACATCAGTTTTCGACAGAAATTCCTAAGTTGGTCATTAAAAGATTGATTAAAAGATTGAATGACGTTAAGCCGTAATAAGAATAAGAATATAAATGACACGTTTAATTAAAAATAACATATTACCTGTAGCACAGATTCCCCGTTTAAAAGTTGAAGTGTATACAATAAAGTTCTTTCCGCGGATAATTTTAGAGGAATATTTTTATTTTTAGCACATAATATCATTGAAGGAACAATGACGGAAAGATGTGATTTTAAAATCTACAAATTATAATATAAAGTATATTATGAGATACGAATAAATAACAATGTATTAAACGAAACTGAATGTTAATTGAATCAATTAATAAATTACATCTGGATATTTTCTTCCGATTGCACGTATTACTAACAATGCTAGGCGTTTCGTTTCATCAACTAAAGTAGCTGGTTCACGAATATTTGTCGCTAATGGTTCTAAAAGGTGGTATATTTTCTGTTGTTCTTGATATATTTCTGTAAGCAAAATTTTTCCTGCTATAATTATTGATGTATCAGAGATAGATTGCTAATATAGAAGAAATTAATGTTATTAAATATTAAAAAGTAAATCACCAATAGATTATAAAAGAAATTTAATCTAATATTTACATGATTACTAGTTAAACCTACTAATATAATATCAATTATATCATTTGTTATGTTTAAATCAACAAAGACTTTTGGAGCCTCCGCAAGGATGGCATTTATAGACAAAAGAGAACTTTGTTTTGGTGGATCTCCGGTTAGAATTTGAGATCTGATGTTCAAATAAATATTAATAATAAAATCTAAATTATCAGTATTTTTTTTTTCTATTTTATTATTATTATTAAAACGGAAACAAAAAAAACTTACGCAATAATAGGCATTATTTCTTGAGGCGTTACATGTTTACTTAAACTACCAAGTAAACGAGAAGTACCGACAACTATTACTTCTAAATAATAGAATAAATAGTACAGATTAATCTATAAAAACAAAATTCATAATAATAGTCGTGATAATTATAAAATCTCACCTGAATTATCACTTAATCCATCCATCACAACTCCAATAATTCCTTTCTTTGAAATTTCATTCATGTTATTCCCGGCTTTATTCACAACACTTTCTAAGGCGCTTATCATTGTTTCTCGTACACTTGTATCACTTGTTTTAATTCCAGTCACTAACTCAGTAACTAGAGGGTCTACTCTTGTTTGTAAAGAAATTAGTATAACTAGTGCTGATGCGGCACGTGAACGAACAAGAGTACTAGACGGATCGGTTAATGATTTAATAAATGTTCGTTGAAGTTGAGGAAGGAAAGGTTTGAGAAGAGTAGGAATCTTGGTGAGGAGAAAACTATAATTAATAGAATTGATTGAAATATTAATAATAAGTTAATATATATAAATTAAATATAAATTATTTAAGAAAATGATAAACTTTAATCCAACCTTAAAGTTTGCAATATAGCTGCTTTCACTTGTGGAGGATAACGATCCCCTATAATACGAATAAGAGGTCCAGTAATTTGTGTTACAAATGGCTTAAGTGCATCAGCTGAAGTTCTTTGGATAAGATCGCCTATTCCTAAAGCAGACTGTTCACGAATTTCCGGAGTACCATACATCAATCCGTGTAAAAATATTGGAAGTATGGGGCCAATTCCTTTTGGTAAACAAAATCCTGGCAAATCTACACCAGGAACACCAACTTTTTTTACTGATCGACGGACGGGGGTTACTAAATGTTCTAATTCGTCTTTTTTAATTGACTTAGTTATTGAATTCAAAGCATTCCATGCCGAAACTACAACTTCTTTTTGACGATCACCTAACAATAAAATCAAATCATTTATCCACTCAGGTACATATCGCGAATAGTCCATCTTAGTTTCATTACAAAATATCGTAATAATATCGCATGCACTAGCCCGTTTAGTAGGTTCTTCACTTTTAATTGCCTCAAAAAGCATCATCATCAGAGTTTGAATTCCTTCAGAATTATCAATAGAAAGTAACAATGCTCGTTCTGTTTCTTTAAGTTCTTTAATGGTATTCTCATCTGTTTCCATACACAAAGATGCGATAAGTGCAGAAAGAATGTTTGATAATCGTTTGTTAAGGGCAGAGCCAGCAACAGTTACTAATGATGCAAGTGCACGTGCATTAAAGGCTGAAATTGGCACGGAAATAAGGTTTGGTATAAGAACTGGAAATACGACATTAGCACGCACAGCCATTAATTCCTTCAATGCTTCTAATGCATATGCAGAATCATCTCCAGATTGTAGAGAATTAAGGAGCGTAGGCAAAATTTCATCAATTGCCTTATCTCCAACATGTTGTTGGAGTGTATCAAATGCTAATATAATAAATTAATAATAAAAAAATTGTCAATAATAATAATAATAATATTGTTGACAATAATTCAAATTAAAGAATGAGCTACTAAATTACAAATTCTCTTTTTATTTACCATGAGCTGCTGCTTCACGCACTTCACCAGATTCATCAATTAATGCCTTTCTAACAGCAGGTATAATAGAATCAACGTAATCAATAACTTGCACTTTCCCAGCAGTACTCATTACTTCGCTTAATCCAATACAAACTCCTTGACGCATATCAACATCAGATGATTCTAATTTGTTTTCTAAAATTGGAATTATTTCTGAAAGAACGCTTTCACCAAGCTTCCGAACAAGCTCGCCAAGAGTACGCGCAGCTACCTGTCGACGTTCAAGACTTGGACTTGATAAGCTGCGTAGTATCATCTCCATCATAATATGAAGTATTTCCTTGACAGTACGAGGAGTATTGGAAACTATAGATTTCCAAACATATATAGACGATTGACGAACAATTCCGGAAACTTTTTTTACAGATAACGTATCGTTTAATATTTCATTTAATATATATTTGATAGTATTATAAAATAAAGACATTCGAATAAAATTGATCAAACATACCATCTTGTCGCACAATATAAATAGCTGCCAAAACGCGGTCTCGTCTTTCTCTTCCCAGAACTTCTAACAAAGCCTTTTTGCTTGCTTCAGTTCCTCCAGTTTCTTCTTCTTCTTCGCCTTCAACAGCTGTTTTACCACTAATTCCTGTTATTCTATATAATAAATCACCCATGAGTTGAACAGAGCTATGCCTTATTCTCCAATTATCATCAAATAATCCTCTTTCCAATTCCGGAAGCAAAAGATCAACGGCTTTAGTCGCGTAATTCACAACAATCATTCGGCCTGCCCTTAGTGAAGCATCCCGTACATATTCTGATTCATCGGCAAGACCAGATAAGATTGGCGGAATTGTACGACCAAGATAAGGTTGAAATCGTACTCCAAAAGTAGCAGGAAGATAAATAAGTAGTGAAATGAATCCTTCTCGGACATAAGATTTTGAGCTGGTAGCGTTTGTTATGATATCAGGTAGAAGTCCATCAAGTCGTTCAAGTCCTAATCCTGCCAAAACTTCACTAAGACCTTGAGCCGCGCCCTGTCGATCAACACCACTGATATCTGATTTAAGTGTATGGATAAGTTCATTAACAAGATTAGGAAACTTATCTTCACCGAGTTTATCTATCATGGTTCCAAGCGATTTGGCAGCTGTTGCTCGAGCATCAGGTACGGGATCTACCAATACTTCTTTGAGGCTAGGCAAAAGTCTTGGCAAATAAGGAATAAGATCTTTTACATCTGTCAAAGATGCCATATTCCCAACAATTTGTGAGGATTTTTTCTTAACTTCTGTACTTCTTTCCTTCAATCCTCGTTCAAGAATAGGCATTACCTTAATGAACGAAAGTAATAATCAATAAATATGAAAATTTGAATCCACTTATTAATGTACTAAAATTCAATAATTTTATAGCATAACTTACCAATGCCAGTGATGGAGCATCGATATAATGAACAAATGCAGTCTCTAATAGTGAATTTAATGCTGCATTGGTATTTTTGTCAGGATTACTTAACCCACTTAATAAAGTTGGAACAAGGGCTTGAATTTCTGGGTTACTGATAACTTCTCCAAAATGCAATAAAGCTCGATTGGCAGCTGCTTGAACGTTTGTGTGTGAATCTGCAAGTGCATTAGTTAATCTTGGAACTATTGTAGGAAGTGATATTGATAATTGTTTAGGTGCACAAAAAGCCATGGCTCCCAACAACTCTATCGATCCCTTTTTTGTTCTCCATTGACGATCTTCTAAACCTGATAGAAGTGAAGGTAAAATAAGTTTGACACAATGGCCACTAATTTTGCTCATTATTACCCTAGCCGTATCTGCTGTTGTTTCTCGAATATCAGGATGCGTATCGCCAAAGCAAGTTAACAACAATGGCAAAATTTGAATAACATAAGGTTCAAAAAGACGTCCCAAACTTTGTGACAGTGCCTCGAAAGCAAATAAAGCACCTTGTCGACATCTATAATCCTTTTTATTATAAATACCTTCCTTCAAAGTATTCATTATATTACAATCTTTTATAGCTGAAATACCAGTACCCTTGACAACGCCTGCTAAACCATATGCAGCACCTCTTCGCCCTGCATACGTTTCTGAATAATAAAGTTGGTTTAACAAACTCTCAATTAAGTTAGGGGCATTGTCTTTCATCAATTTAATAAGAGGTGGTAAGCAATCGCAAACAGCCAGTTGAACAGACTCGGATGGTGTTTTTAGCGTTTCAAGAAGTTTATCAATAACCACAGGGATTCTTTTATCAGTGGGATCAAAATGTCTAGCTAAAGCTCCAAACCAAATAACAACAGATTCACGAATACGATCATGAGTTTCATTAGGAGCGGCGGGTTGATCCAGATAATTCTCAAATAGGGGCATTAACAAATTAACATTTTCACTGCCACGCTCTTTGATAGCAACCAATCCGGCCTAAAAAAAATTATATTAAAATTTAAAAACACACATACAATCAATATAGTTCAAAAGAAAAGAAATTCACACCTCTAACATTTTTTGCCGAACTTGAGCATTAGAATCACCGACAGCTTCTTTAAATATTAGAAATTCAAAGAAGGATTCTATGTCCGAAGAACTCAAATGATGCGCAAGAGCAGAAAACCCAAGAGCTAGTCCAACACGAGCTCCCCATGGATCTTCTCTATTCAATGATTCGGGGTTCAAGATACCAAGTTCATCGTATTCTGGTTGAATTGGTTTAGCCTAATTGCATATCAAAAATAAAATAAATTATGGAATATGATGAAGAAATCTGCGGTAAAAAAAATATAAAATATAGCCTAATTACCTTTTCATAATAAAGTTCATATAATGATTTAAGCGTTTCTTCTATCAATTCTGGGAATGTTTCGGCTATCTTTCCAAGTGCCTTGGCAGCCGTTGAACTTACATATTTCTCATCATGAACCAGAAGAGGCAAAAGCTCTTCAGCATATTTTGAATCAATGTCCATACAGAAATCATCCCATAAAGATAAAGCTAAATTAGCATTAATTTCATCATCATCTTGACATGAAATCCATAATTCACGAGAAAAGTCAATTTCTGTAAGATCTAAACATTCCAATGCTTGTAAACATGCATGACGAACAAATGCTTCGCCAGAAAGTAACCCTTCAAACAAAACATTTATTTCAATTCTTAACGCGGTATCCCCAATTGCTTCACATAAATTTGTTAGAGCAGTTTTTGCTCCTTTTGTTAATCTAGGATAACTTTTGATTATAAGCAAAAGTGCTTGTATCATTTCACTCCTAGGAATTAAAAGTGAAGATCCAATAGACGAATGGGAAGAAATAATATCCAAGCTAAGTGCAATTTGTTCTATTGACATTTCTAAATATTCATCATTATCTTTTTTGTCATTGAATCCGACACCATTTTGTTGAATAACTTGAAAAATAAGTGCGAAGCAATAAGCAAATGATGATGGAGGTAAAAGCGAACGTTCAGTAATAAACCGAAGACGATAAAGTACGCGTGAAACGAGATGACTTAGAGGTTCTTGAAGCCATTTTTCAGGAATTCCTTGAACTTTCATAGCACGTAAAGTGGCCAACCCAATAGGTATGCGAATACTCTCAATATTTTCAGAAGTTCCAATTTTTAAATAAGTATCTATCCCTCTTTCTCCAATCAGAGGGGCCTTCTGCATAACAGTGTGCAATAATCTCATCAATTCTAATATATTTGGTTCAACAGCTTTAGAGTTACCATTTACCATAGAGTCTATTATATCGAGACCTCTAATTAATTTCAAACGAACTTCTTCAACAGATTTACGTATTTGAGATTCTTTCGCCAACTGTGCATCAACTGCAGCTTTTTCATCTTTTGAGAGTTTAGGTGTTAATGGATCACCCTTCTTCTTGGCAATTTGATCTCGAATTTCTTGTTCCCACTTCTCAGTTTGATAGCCCTTTCTATTGCGATTCTCAACTATTTTTGTTTTATTTCGCTTTAAAACTAGTCGTTTTTTTTTTATGATAAATAAAAGATAAGTCACTTTCAATCATTCTGAATATTAATGATATATAATCATACAATGGATAAATTTTTACCGTCAACAAATAGGGTCCCTTCTTTGGTTTTCCATATTTTAATCTCTTGGTCACCTATATTTTCAAATAATGAAGCATCCAAATATTCTCGACATTGATCGATGAACATATTTACGAATATATCTGGTGAAATAAAGGTGACGGTAGAAATGGCCGACAATGCAGCTTTATAGAAATTCTTAGAATATCATCATCATTAGTAAATGAAATCTTAAAATTAACTAAAAAATATAATATTAATATGTACTTCTGTTCCACTTTCGATATGAATTTTTAGGATGTCCTTAAGTCGATCAGAGTATTTTTCGACCAATTTTCCTGGATCAAGTCGAGCTCGTTGAGTCAACGAAATCCAATTGTATTTGTCGGTAGGTGATACTGAAATATATATATCAGTGATATAACCTTTTTTTTTGAAATAAATTTAAGAAATTATTAAACATTTACCTATGAAAGGATGATGAGCTAAAATTATAAGTTCCACAAGCGATTCTTCAACAATAGATTCTTCTACATTCTTAGAGAAAGTGCTTATAGCAGTAAGAACTTTAGAAAGGCGGTAAGCATTAATGTAAGAATCGGAATGTGCCGGTACATTTGTTGATAAACTAGTTGAATCTTTAGTATTCTTCTCAAGCTATTTATTAGGATTCAAATAGATTCTTAAGCATTAAAAAAATTTATATTAATAAATATATTAGGAAAAATCATGTACAAACATTCAATAACCAATCTGTTAATCCTTCACGTATTAATCCACAAATAAGTCCTGGATTAGATTGAACGCAATTCACAATCGTATCATAAGATTCGCGACGTGTCTGGTAAAACGGAGACTCTGTAAGCATATATATAAAGGCAGTTGCAATGGATATCCTACAACTACAATAACAAATCACTATATTAACAAAAGAAAATTATAATATAATTTTTCCGGTTATTATATACGATGATGATTACCTGGCATCGATCTTCTGTAGTATAACGGAACTTTCATTAATGCAAACACTTTCAAGAGACCGAAGAAACCAACTATTTTCCTCAATATTACTTAATTTTGAGTAAACCTTATTCCAGAGCCAAAACGAAGGTTTCGGTGAAATGCTCAGAATATTTTGGGCAAGTTTTTTTGATTGTATTAATGCGTCTGTGGTTATATTAAAATATTTATGAAATATAACTAAATATTCATTAATTACACGTATTAATAACGGGGTGATGTCTTACTAATTTTTTCATCATTCCAATTTTTTGCTCTTCCTTCCGCAATTGATATAACAATATATCCTTCAATAGGACCTCCGACAAAATTCAAAGGATTAGCTTGAATCTTTTCTAATGTTGAAAAGAGCTGTATAAGAGAATTTTGAGTAACATTACGAAGCGAAGTTGACGGAAGGCTTGTTTCTTCCCAAACAAGACGACCGATTAAAATAGCCCACGCTTTTTTCACACCAGGTTTAGGGTTAGTTAACCCTTCTGTAATGAACTTTGTAATTTTTTTAACAAGTGCGTTATCATCTTCTGCTCTTAACAATAAACCAGCGTGCAATCCTATTGTATCGATTGCCTTTGATAACGAATTATCATTACTTTCTTTCAATACAATAGGTAATAGACCATCTATTATAACTTTAACTACATTAGGAGATTGATATATGTGGCCCAATGATTGAAAAACAATTATACGATGCTCCGGATTGGTAACATTTCCTGTTCAAAATAATAAAATTGTAAAATACAAATTATAAAATAAGATCAAATAAATAATGAAAAACTAAGACTCACTTAGTGTTTGAAGAATTTCATTCACGATTTCTATGATAATAGAATCTTTCCGACTTTTTTCAATCATTATTTTTAATAATTCCGTGGCATCAGATTGCGCAACTTTATTAGTTGATCGAATGTGACCAAGTAAAGGTAGTAAAAATCTTTTCTTCAAAACATTTGACAAGTCAAAAGATAAAGACTTGGCAAGATAAATCAACACTAATTATGAAAAAGTTGATATAAAAATGAAATTATAATACATATTAAAATCTATTGAAAATCCATTAAAAAATAAGCCATTGGAAAAAATATTAACCATTTAATACAATTTCGGGCGCCCTAAGAAGAAGTTTCTCTATAGTAGGAGCCAACTTTGTTTCAAAATCTTCTTCCGTTACCATCGAATTTATAAAATCGTGTAATGAGTCCTAATGCAAGAAGCCGAAATATATTCAGAATTTTGAACTGACCGGCAGGGATATAAAATTCTAAAGCCTAGTTACCGCGGATGTTTTAGTCACGGTGGATTTAGAAGAAACAATGCACGTGATATAAAATTGAATAATGTCTTCCTAAATAATAAAATTTTTAATTAATTAAATTGAATATCCATCAACAACAAAACATATTACAACAATAAAGAAGAGATTTAACTAACCTTGGCGTTTTTCACATAATCCTTGCCACTTCTATTTTTGAGTCGCAAAGAACAATCTATAACCGTTCCAAGTAAAATGGAATTCCTATATATAGGATTACATGATTTCGCGCTAGAAGTCAAATAAGTAATATAAGAAGGAATGTGCGTAGCATTCTGAAAAATGTAATTTTAAATTTTATCGATGAATTACATTAAAATGAATCAAACGACACAAAAATGGATTAAACGACAATAAGGAATATTGTAAATGTTAATACCTTGCGAATAAAACGCCTCACGTCGATTATAGCACTGTGAGTCACACTTTTTCTTCTTTCGGTTTCGTTAACTAAAGAATTCAAAAGTATTGCTTGCGAATCAACTAAACTCTTCCAGTGAGATGATGGTTCTGTGGTATTATTAGATGATAATGCATAAGTAACCAATGCATTTACCCAGGTAAGAAGAACGAATCGAATAGTAGAGGCTGTTGTGTAAGTTCTGATGAAATAATGTGTAGATTAATTGTGTAGATGAATTAACTGATCAACGCAGGAAACAACACTAGTAACACATTTTAAACATTTATTCTACCCATCGGAACTTTTTCGATTTAATTTATCAACTTCTTTAACGACCATTGGAACAAATTTCTTTAAAAATGCCACTGAATTCCAATGGTTGAGTTCTTTAAATATATTCAATATAGAAAGACGTGAAGCTCTATCGGTATATCTCGGATAAGTCAAGAATATAAGATAAAGAAGACTCCCAAGTGATTGATCAGAAAAATCTATAAAATTAAATTTTAATTAGTGTAAGTGAAGAGAAAGTACATAATGAATAGATAAAATCACGAAATGCTGTACCTCCAGCCTTTATTCGAGGTAATAAAGAATGATTTAAGAATTCAAGTCGAATTGAAGTGTTTGAGTTTGTAATACTGTATAAAGCTCGAGATTTTATAAATTCTGTCCAGGAGAGATCAGTCGAGCCAGTTTCAGTAGTATCCTCCATTATAAAGCTTCGATCTTGTACTCGACCAAATGAAATAAATTAATTTCAAAGCTCTACCAAAAAAAATATTGTTACACAAGATGGTAATTAATGTGTCACGTTAGATTTCCACACACCACTAAATTCTTTTTTCCTATTTTGTTTGAATCATGTTGGCATCATGTGTGGAATTCGCAATGTGAGTGGTGAATCCCACGAAGTTCCAGGAAAAAGATAATCAAAACACTTGCCCATGATATTCTTTTTTGGCAAGATTTTCTTCTTGCATGGAAAAGGAAGAAAAATCCTTGTGTTTTTATTGTAATCTTAATAGTAATTGATTTTGTAATGGTAATCAATTTGAAATTGATATCCATTTTGAAATCGATTTCCATTAAGAGTGACCTCCCACTCACCCTCCAGAAATCTATGTTCTTTATATAAAAAATAAATAATTCAAAGAATATAATAGATTCATGTAATGGATTTTTGAAAAATTCA